TTTTTTTTAACTCTTAACGGTGGCCAATTTACAATTTCAACTTAGTTGATATAGCCAAACTACCTTGTTAACCCCCACCGACGCAGCAACACAGTTTCTTTAGCAACTTACCTCATTTATTAACTTAGAGAGACACACTGAAAACCCAATACTTAACACCTGCAGTTTCCAAAACATCGAGAAATGCCATTTCCAATGAGAAATTACGAGCTGAAAGTTATTCATAATATAATTGAGAAAATGGCAATCGTCTTCTATTTCGGCTTTCTATTTCGGCTTTCTGTTTGTCCCCGCGATTTCCCCGAAATTATCATTAAGCGAGAAATCTTACATAAGAAAAAAAAATAGGATAATAGGTGAGTGCAGTAAAGGAAGCGTGGGGTTGACACCAGCAAAACCAAATTAAGTGTTTTACTCAGCATAAATGGTTAAATTGAAAGGCTCAACTTTCCTAATTATTTCCCTGCCTCCTCTCTGTCTGGCGAAATAAATTAAAAGTGAACCTATTGTTTCTCTCATTCATCATATGTTTATACTAAAACACCTGACAGCCTTCTCTGTTAAACATATAGGCATTAAAACGAAGCACCATTAGCCATTTATATTAAAATTCATAATCTCTGAGGAGCAGTTGGAAAAAAGTTAGTTATCGAGACCTAAGGAAACATAAACGAGTATTGGTATAAAGTGATTCCCCCGGGAGGAGAAGAAACAGACATGTCGTGATAAAATAACGGAAATTCTGTTGATTGGAGCGGAGAAATGTATGAATAATAAACGTCAGACTGGAGAGCGTGTCGAACAGAATGGGCGAGAATCGAAAGGGACACCTGCTTTCCGCTGGGTCTCATATCATACAACCTGAAGATATTAGTGATTCTTTAGCAAGAAGAACTTGCAAAACCTACTCTCTAATATTGAAGACATACCATTCCGGTATAGAATTGGTGATAGTAAGTTTGCCTTAGGTTAACTCACATTTTCCTCACAAAATATAATAAATAAAAGCTTGTCAACATGTCACATCGGCGAAAAAGGGAGGAAAAGGAACAAATGTTTTGCTGACCTTAGATTTAAAAAAAATTTAACCAAACTAAAAAAACATGCAGTATATGGGGACCATGATCAACTCACCAATGCTCTCTCAGAGATGTTCAATGTAAGACGTATCAGCTGAGGTATTTCTCCTCTAAAGGTTCTATAATACCGAAACTAATCTGATGTCATTAGTTATCTAAAGCAAAAACTCATCACCGAGTCGAGACGTTAATATGTCAATAAAGAACCATGAAGATGGCGGAAATATTCTGTTGCTTATGCAAACTCAGTGACTGGTACCCAGTTTTGTTAATCTGATTCACATGATAGAACTCAAAGTATGTTGGCTAGGCGGATAACTCATCTTTCCATTCGAATCATTCTTATTTTGAGAAGCAAAGAGTTGACACATCAAATATTTAGACAAGTGGTGTTTTTTAAGCTTCCTTGGTTTTTATGGCTCAAATGCGCCAAACTAATAATTCGCCTGGAGTCATTACGGCAAATGTCACAAAAGACTGCCAACCGTTTCAGTTTTCAGTGGTAATGACGTTATTACCCACAAAAGAGGCATCAGAATATTCTGAACAGTTTACAGCCTAATTCACACCTTGTTAAGGTCTTGGCTTGCCAAGATCTTCGATCATTAAGAAATCACTTCGTTTGCGTCTAAATTTCAGCATAACTAAATCGCGTAGCCCATTGCAGAAACGTGAGAGGACTGGGACAAGTTTCTTCTATTGATGACATTGAAAATCTAAACATTTCAACTGAAATGTTCATGAATGAAAAGCTACCCTGTCAAGCTTGAGAGTTTTTGGCGGAAAAGTGTCCAAATCGGCGCCTTCAAAAGTTACAAAAATTCCATACAAACCCTTAAAATAATTTTTGGCCTGTCTACCCAATCCATACAAACTCTCTATTTTAGGTGATATTTGAAGAGCTGTCATTTTGCCATTTTCATCCTCTAAATACTTCTATTCTTGCTTAATACTCTCAAATTTAGTTGATCTTTCATTTGAATATCTTAGTTTTTCAAACAAACGGCAAACAACCACACTCTTTCCCAGTCCTCTCACATTTCTGCAATGGGCTATGAAATCTGATCACGACACATATTAAATCTTTATAGTTACATGTACACATAAACTGTATTCATCGACGCGTTGTTTGAAATGGGATCTTCTTGTAAAATATTTATCATATTTACTTTATCTTTTCCCTTTTTCTTTCTTTTTGGACAAAACCTCCGACAGTTTCTGACTACATAATAAACACCAATAAAGTCGGGGCAGAGCATTTTAATTTTTCCAAAGTATCTAAAAACTTCTATGTAAAGGTTTTAAAAAATTTCTGAAAAATATTAATTTGTAGCCCAGTGTTACAATGATTAAACTTATCTATATATGTTAGATCCAGGCAATCTTTGGTGTACTTTTACTGTCTCTGGCTACCTTCTTTAAATTCTCAGCATCACACAGAGAAATATTCCGACAATGTGAAAGATTCAACTGTGAAAGACCTTTGCATGTTTTAATAAGCAATTCAACTGACTCTACTGATATTTCACTGCACATTGAAAGATTGACAGACCTCAACAGTAATAACCCTGAGGACTGTATAAGCTGTAAAATAATTTCATCACTCAGTTTTTCAATTCCAGATAGATCTAGCTCTTGTAATTCTGTTGAGTTGGACAGAATGGCTAAGAGATGTTCTGCAAGTGACTTGTGATGCAAAAAATGACAGTTATGGAGGTTAAGAATAGACAACTTTGGGCAAGCTTGTGCTAAGGTTACCCATTTGCTTTCATCTGCAGTTGAAACATGAATGTAACTGCCAGTTACTTTAGTACAGTCTGCCATATTTAAAGTTTCTAAGGACTTGCAGCAGACCCCAAGGATCTCAGTGTCCACTCTATCCATTCCAGAAATGTCCAGTACTTTCAATGAGTTTCCAGATTTGACCAAGAACTGAGCAAGATGGGGATGAAATTTCATTGCCTTGTTATCACCAATACGCAGAACTTTCAGATGGGCTAGTGAAGCAATAAACTCTAAAGATATAACTGTGAGCGAAGTGCAGCAGTTAAGTGATAGGTCACACAATAAGGGACAACTTTTGCAGAGAATTTTCATGCATGTATCTGTGATAAATGTGTAAGACAAATCCAAAGAACTAAGTTTTATGCTCGGAACACTTATGTCAAATTCTTCAACTGAGTTTGTCATGGCCAAGGACATCTTTTGTATCTCTTGTTGAGAGTTCAACAGTTTTTGTATTCCATAACTTGTTACACCAGTTGATGACAAGTTGACTTCTTTTAACCTTCGGCACTTTGGATTTTTAACATCTGCGCACAAACCAGCTAAACCAGCATCTGTGAGAAGAGTGCATGACTCCACCCGCAACACTGTCAGCTCAGGACACAATGTTCCAAGGAGGTTTAACACTTCATCTGTACAAGCCAAACATCCACTGAGATCAATGGACTGAAGACGGGTTAAACCTGAAGGAATCTTTTTCAGTGCTTTTGTTGAGAGACGTGAACAATTCTTGAGAAAGAGCTGTGTAATTTTCTGAAAAGAGATGATAAAATTTGCAGAAAATGTGAAAATGTTAAATTCAGTAATTCACCAAAATAAAAATACTCTGAGGCAGCTTGGTCCACCTTCTTAATAGCATTGTCTTGATTTTGCAGATGATTTATGTTAAGAAGCCAAGAGGGTATGTTGATAAAGAATCCTGGACCCCTGGATGAATTAAACTGTTGTCCACTGGAACTTAGGTTACATCTGATTACTGTGAGTTCATGGCAAGATAGACCACCTAATATGGTCATGAACGACATCCATCCTGCTAGGATTAACAATTTGTCAGGAGCATCATGTACTTTAAATTTTTCATAAAAAGGAATGGGTCGTTAAACTTTTAGACATTTTAAGTTAATTGAGGATTTGGGAATTTCATGACCAGAAGCACTTTCTCCATGAAACTGATTTATCATAATAACAATCATATGTTGTCTCTGATGACTGAACAATACAAACCTTACAACGAAATACCACAGCAGAAATGATCTGATCACTGATAAGTGAGGAACAAGCACTCAAATCAACATGCTTAATATTAGAGTGAAGAAGAACATGAAAGTGAGACACTCGAATTTGCTTCTTTTCACACAGAATATCCAAAAGTTCTTGAATAAGACCAGAGTCTACAAAATAACAAGGAACGACAAGTAAATGTTTGGATAATCCAAAATCCTACAGGCCCCCATTCATACCTATCAAAAGTTCAACAACTTATCAAGTATACTCCACGTTTTAAATCCAGACTCATTACTTAATTCATGCCATAAGAATCTTAAAATAAGACATGAGACACTCAGTCAGTGGGACTGTTAATTCAAGGATTGCCTCCCCCCCCACCCTCTCCCCCTTCCTTCAATGGCCATTTTCTGCGTATGTCACCCAAAAACCAAAATGAATCTAAATTATTTAGTACTTGGTTGTAAAATTGCTTAAAATATTTCAAAGTTCACTCACTCAAGCCATCAAACGGACCAAGAACATATTTGAACCGATTAAGATCTACGATCGATGAGTTGCACCACAAGCTCATGCCCTTCGCGATACTCTCCAGGCTTAACTTTTCTAGTGTTTTCACGCTCATTCTTAGCCTAATTTGAAAGATTTTGGATGAAAAAAAGGTCACCGTCAGATTGAAATTGATTAGCTCGACCGTGATTAGCTCTTCTGCTATTTGAATCTTGCAAAAGATGAAGTAATCGAACACTTGATCATTGCAAATGCTCTATTCAGCGGATATCGTCATCGGAAACAACTACAGTAAGTATCGTGCACTTAAAGTTTCAAATAAATTGAACATGGCGGACGCCATGCGATGTTAACGATTTTAACTCAGTGCCGATTGTCCGCTGTAACTTTCAATTTTGTACAGCATGAATGGAGAGGAGGAAGAGGATGATATCTGGGATGAAAAATCCTTAAAGCAGCTTAAGAGAAAGATTGGACAGTCGGCGCGTAGAAATGAGAAATCAACAACTACCTCGCGCAAAAGCGCACAATCAAGGCGCACTGGCAGTAGGTTGAACAAACCTCAACGACAGTGTCGTTTGCAAGCTTCACGGAAAACAAAGACAGATAATTCACAGACAATCACAAAAAACAGTAGTAATAAACTAAAGTGCAAGAGGGAAGATTCCTCGAGTATTTGTAAAGAATCGATTGATGAGGACTCGAACTTTAGTCATCAATTTGGAAGCCAAGTTGATTCAGCCGTGGTTAACAGGAAGATCATACCTCAAAAAAGCATTACAGATGGGTACTGTCCTAAATGTCAGATGCCTTTCGTTGCATTGGTTGGAGACTCACCTGGGTGGCACGTCAGTGAATGTTTGGGAATCAAATATTCTCACATAGGTATCAGCTTTGTAGAATTTAGAATAATGTCATAAATATTAATTCCATAAGCATATTTCGCTGTTATTCACACAGTTGGACCCTCAGTCTGTCAATACAGTTACTAGTCTATGTAAAAATCTCACCTGTTAACTTTGCTCTATGCAGAACTGGGTAGAAGTGAAGAAAAGCTCCCCTAAAAGTCTGTTGGCCAACTGTCCGCCGGCAGTATACCAACAGTTGACCGACAGTTGACCAACAGCAAATTGACACTTAAAAATTTGACAAGTGTAAAGACATCCCAGTTACTCGACCCTTACCGTTCTAGTAGAACCAGTCGCAGGATGTACCACATGTTGAGCTAAAATTGCATCATTGTATGACCTGGGTAAATTTATCTATGAAATCGCCCTATAATGCATTGCAGTTTGTTTTAGGGCGTCACAGAGGGACTTTCAATTATCTCTGTCTGTTTGAGTTTATTTTTGGTTAATATTTTCAGTTAGTTTATTATTTTTTTACGCAGTCACTTGTCAGAGACATTTAAAGCTGCTTACATTTAGTAAAGCAAAATAAAAAGCTGCAAGAAGCCGCTGTAATCAAATTTTTTGCTTCTTGATTGCGAGGGTGATGCGATGGGATTGTGAGGGGTTTGGTACCTAAAAAACCTAAACATAGGAGATTGCAACTAGATTGGTCCCAAAAAAACCTAAACAAAATGGCAGACTCAAGTGAGAAAGTTTCAGTTTGCGTCAATATGCAAAGTTCATTCACATGTGCGAGCTGAGGCTTTTCTGATATTCAACAGAGATTCTCAACCGACACTTGGCCAACAAATTACCAACATGCTGCCAACAGTCGGCCGACAAACGGCCAACAGTCAGCCAACTGTTGGCAGAAGATTTTCGCAAAAGGCGGTAAACGACAGTCAGCCAACTGTTGGCCGACTGTCAACCGACAGTTTGCCAACAGTTGGCCGACAGTTTTTGGGGAAGCTGTTCTTCACTTTTTCCCAGAACAGGGACATATGTGGATGATCATCAGGTGGCATTTCCAATTGAAACTATGTTACACAAGGATCAGAAATCAGACAAACAAATACAAATGTAATGATTTGAATATATCAACAAAGTTGAAATGGTAAATTGGCCACCGANNNNTTTTTTGTGTCAGGTGATTGTCCTGAAGGTCTCCACTGCAGATCAACATTTTCCCCTCATTATGAGAGATACTCTCACAAGCTTTTGGCTTCTGTCAGGAGTTGTGGCAACTTGGACAATGGAGATGAAGAAGAAAATAACAGCAGCATAAATAATTTGAAACACAAACAAGTAAGATATTGATAAACTGTACAGACCATCCAAGTTCACATCATTTTTTCTCTAGTGACTGAAGTCACTTAGATAAGTCAGAAGCTACTGGTATGTCAGGAGAATAAAAACTCTGTCAGATTTTCTCATAACACCAGCTGGAACTAACTTTTTACTGTTTTCTCTACGATAGCATGAAAGAACAATCAAATCTTCAAGAAAGTTAAACTTTTCAGAGGAGACATTTTTGTCAGAACCACCTAATAAAGATGAAGGGAAGTGTGAGTCTCCTGGAACCCTCAATGCTACAGTAGAAAATGGAACGACAAGAGCAGAAAAAATAGATGATAATAAAACACCAGAGGAATTGCCTTGTGATGATATTCATGGTTCACCACAACATTCAATCCTCAAACAATCTTGCCAATCTCATTCTTTGTCTTTACAAAATGATGTTCCAATGACCAAAGTGGAGACAGAAGATTTTGAATTGTCCTATGATGATGATGACCTGTTTGGAGATCCAGAAGTCTTGGAAAGTATGTGTCAGGGTTCTAATGCAGTGGATCAGAGAACAACAGACCAACAGAGTTTTAACAGTCATGAATGTGTTGGTGTTCATAATAATCAAAAGCAGAATTTCATTCACTCTGTTAATTCAGTTGCTGAGAAAATGAGTAAAACAAGTGAATGCACAAAGAACATTGAGATCAATTTTACACCAAGTCCATATCCTTTAGAAGCAAGGAAAAACAAAGTCAAAGAGGTTAATCTGGGTGAGCAATCAATTACAAGCCAGAAACAACAGTCAATTTTGTCATTTGTCAGAAAAGAGAAGGAGGCCACTAAAACAAAGACATCTCTTAAACAAACAGATATAGGAGTGTTCTTTGGCTTGAAACCGTTGAAGAAGCCAGCAGAAACTAAAGTAACCTCTCAGAATTGTGCTAAACTATCAAACTCTTCACAATCACAATCTGTGCCCCAAAGACAGGGTCACTGGGCAACAGGAAAAACATTCCACAGTGATCTTAAAAATGCGGGATCTACAACTGAAGGTCAAAGTCTAAGTCATGGTAAAGATCTGGCTGGTAGTAGTGGAACCCAAACTCAACGCAGTTGTCCATTCTACAAGAAAATTCCCTACAGTGGAATTACAGTTGATGCCTTTCGCTATGGCAACATTCCTGGCTGTTATGCTTATTTTTTGAGCCATTTTCATTATGATCACTATGCTGGACTAAATGGGAAATTCAAAAATCCAATCTATTGTAGCAAGGTAATAAACTGTTAGGGTTTATTAAGATTTGAAGTGGGAGTACACCCTAATCCTGGGGTTGAATTGTTAACTTCTTGATATTCAACTCAAATGTGGTTGAGTTCTGTTTTTATAGATCCCATTGCTGTAAGCTGGGTCCCACAAACAATTTATTTAGAACAACATACCTTTGCCAATGGATTGAAAGTGGCAAATCTCAACCGAGTGGTTAGAGTGTCGGACTTGTAATCCGCCGCTCCCGGGTTCGAGTCCCACCCTGACCACTGGATTTGTTTCACGGCAGCCCCGAGTTCAGATCCCTGGCCACGCTTGTAAATAGCCAACTGGTTTGCCTCCCGCCGGTTGGGGTTCTTAACGATGTTCTTAATGATGTTATGTTCAATTTAACCCATTTGTTTCATTTGTTTGCAAGGACCACAATGGAAACTACTGGTTCACCAGTAATTGTGTAATCCTATAAAAAGACTTTTTTTTTTTTTTAACTGACTAACACTACTTGAATCTGACAGCTAGTAACATAATGGAAAAACTGACCAACCAGACATATAACACTTAAAACAACTAAGGAAATTTTAAATCTTTTTCTGGAATTTTAAATTTAGTCTTAATTATTGACAGACATTTTGACTGAAACCATCAGTCTTCATCAGTGTAGTTTGTCACGTGGTAGATCACTCTCATGTGACAAACGTCAGGGAATGGGACACGTGTTGGATTCGAAGGGAGTTAAGATCCTAGATAAAGAATGAGATTGGCGAAGGAGGGGGATAAAAGAAGCGATATGGGAAAGGGTGGAGGACCCAACTCTGAACAGAAAGTGGGGGGGGGACTCCGGTTCTCTCTGTCTCACGCTTGGGACCGGGCCCTTGTCTCCATTCCCGGACGTTTGTCATGTGATAGTGATCTATCACGTGACAAACTACACTGATGAAGACTGATGGTTTCAGTCGAAACATCTGTTAATAATTAAGACTAAAATTCCAGAAAAAGATTTTAAAAATTCCCCATTTGAATTGAACCTGGATGAATGACAATATTCACTTTCACTTAAAACAACTCTTTGCTTGATTCAGATGACAACTTCTGAGCATGTTGTTGAAATTTTGGTCAACAGTCCATCTTAGGGTTGGTCACATGACATAATTCCACCAGTTAAAATTATTTGATGAAAACAGTCAGTAAATGTTCAGAATTAATTTTAACTCATAATTCTTTGTGTTAAGATCACAGCAAATCTGGTGATATCCAAGCTGTATGTTAAAAAAGAGTTTGTCCATCCTCTTCCAATGAATACACCAACTGTTGTGGAAAATGTACAAGTCACTCTTCTGGAGGCAAACCAGTAAGGTCCACTAAGTTTGTTACCTATAATGTTAAATGAATATTTTTTATTAAAAATTACTTTATGTTCAGAAAAGAGTAAGCATATACAAACATAGACACAAGGGTATCTTTATTCAGTGACATTCTAAGCATAAAATGGCTTATATTTTTAATTGAATTTTTTCCTATTGTTTTTGTTTTGTTTTGTATTGTTTTTTCATTGTTTTTTCAGTTGTCCTGGAGCTGTACTGTTTTTATTCCGGTTTTCCACTGGCCAGACATACTTACACACAGGTTTTGTTTCACTTTAGTAATATACTTGCTTTCATCACTTTGTCTTATTTAATTATTTGACAGTCAAATTATTTGATAATAAAAATTAACGGTAAAAAACTACGACGTTTCGAAGTCTGCATGACCTCATTATCAAGTAAAATATTAAAACTGATGTAAAATTGTAGCTCAGACGTCGTAGTTTTTTACCGTTAATTTTTATTATCAAATGTATTTCTAAACATTCTCTGATTAAGATAGAAAATAATTTTTTTAATCGACGTCTTCCTCGGCTTTGCTGTTCTGACTACTTAAAGTCCCTATTTACCCTGACAAGATGAAAACAGAAAACCGCGGATGAAAATTTGAT